TATGGCTAGAAAAACTTTAAGTTCCCTTTAGAAACTAATAAATATACTATGCAAAACAGTGAAAATTCAAAATAGTCATTTTCAAAATCAGCAAATATACCATATAAAAGATGTTAAAATCCAAATAAATTCTTTAAAACTACTAGGTAAAGATGTCATACAAACAATGTCAAAACCTAAAATTAATTCCTTTTTAAAAATCTGCAAATGTTTCAAACAATGCAAAAACTTAAAAGTCATCTTTTAAAAAAAATGGTAAATATACCATACAGGAAGTTAAAAATCAAAGTAATCCCCTTTAGAAACAGGCCCAAACAATATTATAATCTAAACTCCCATTGTGGAGATCTGGCATTACTTCCTTAGCCTGACATAGAAACACATTGCTTTTCTATGATTCCATCAAGAAACCAAAGCAAAAATAAATTGCAAGAGAATTAGGACATATGATTAAATGTCTGCAGTTCAGGGAACTCCTAGGTATCCCTGCTACCAGTAGGTTTTTGGGTATCGCCATTTTGAATCATACCATGTAGTTGGATTATGATGGCTGCACGGTCACACAGGTCACCACCATTTTGAAAATGTCACTGTCCAAGATGGTAACCAAGCCATGTGACTGTCCCCATACTGATGATGTCATCAACCAAGGTGGAGACCAGGTCACATGTTTGCCTCCCTCTTGGTGAGGTCAGCAGCCATGATGGCGACCAGGCCACATGACCATGTTAGTGAGCAGTCCCATAATAAAACAAGCCCATCCCCCACCAGGATACAAGCCCTGTGGGATTCACATGCTTCCTAGATTACATTTAGACAGCAACCATTTTTACTTTTACAAAGCACCCAAGTTAAGTTATACTTGATATAAAAGGAGAAAGTACCCTCAGATATATATATATAGGTCCCAAACAGAAAAGCAAAGCAAAGGAATCCATGTCTCTCACCAACCATACTAGCTGTAATGCCAAGCAAAGTTCTCCAGATCTCTTCATTCCTAGATACAAACTATGCTGGAAAAGACACTCATGAAGGCAGCAGAAAGAACGGGGTGCTATGTCCAGCACATAAATCACTGTGCTGTTGCTCTTAAAACATATGTCTCAAGCACAGCCCCTGACTTTTCATATACACTGAAATTTAAAATGCTGAGATCTAGTTAGAAAAGCAGCCGCCTCAGGACCACATGGCCTGAGCACAGCTTTCTTGGCGCCCAACAGGGCCTAAGATCAAAATTTTGAGCTCCTCTGCCTGAGAAAAAGTTCAGGGGAAAAAAATGGCTTTTAAAATGTTTTTTCTGTTTGTCCATGGGGCAAGCAGCATTAAATTCATTAAATGTTCCACCAAAGCCACCCAACCTCTTCAGCCTAAGCCTAAACACCCAGAGGTAGGATAGCAAAATAGATAGGGTTCACCTGATAGCTTAAGAGCCAAATTCAGTGTGCTCTTGCAAATCTCTGCAGGACCACCAAATAAGTTATTAGAATTTTGGGGGTCCCTTCATGGTCACCAATATGAAACAGGGAGAAAGAGGGTTCCCTAGAGGGTTCTTAGTCTCATTCATAAAAGAATTTAAGAATGGACCCAAACAGGACCTTTTACAATTTTATTAGAATCTTAAAGAAAAATCCTCAGAGCAGGTGAGCTGGTAATCTCAGCAGCTGCCCTGAGGTGACTAGTGGGAAGAAGGAAAGAAAGCCATGAAAGCCATGCAGGATTGGAGCCTGCATAGAGGTCACACCAGTGGCTGACTGGCAGCCACATGGCTGGGAGAAGGAAGCTTTAGAGAAAAAGTGAAGAAACACAAGATGCTAAGGGCAGCCCAAAGCCTTAAAGAAGCATGTTTAGTAAGAAAGGCATGAAGAAGAAAAGGAGAAATTATGCTTTCCTGAAGAGTTCAGGAAAGCGGACAGACTTACAGAAATCTACATGGCTGTGGCTGGTCTGGAAGTTCTGCTGGAGTCTGAGCTAGTTCCAGGCAGAAAATATTCACTACCTAATTAACACACCAGGTATAACTTAAGGTGAACCCATCTTCCTGGGAGTGGTTCTATCACCAGGTAATTCACCAGTGAGACTGGAAAAGTAGGTCCTCCAACAGATAGACTAGACAATTTTATAGTCTGGACCAGTTCAATTTATGGGGCTTATTGATACACTAATAATACAACCTTGAATTTGCTAAGAAAGTGAATCTTAAAGGGTCCCATCAGAAAAAGAAGATAATTATGTGAGGTAAGGGATATGTTAATTAGCTTAAGTTTGGTAATCACTTCCCAACACACACATACATACCTATCACATTTTGTGATACATGTTGTACATGTACATATTTACAACTTTGTCAACTTTTCTCAGGGTCTCCCAGTCCTGACACAGATTAATGAACTGACATAAGACATTTTATTTGGATTTTGCATACTTTATATGACATTTGGGTGGGGTAACTTACAAATACATGGATTCTTACAGGCTTTTCCTTTTCCATATTTGAAATGCATGAGCCACCCCCTCCCCCACCCCCTCACTTGCTGGCCTGGCCAGGCTCAATATGGCAGCAACTCCACCCCTTTTTCCGAATGTGTTCCCTGTCGCCTTCTCACCGGTCCAAGTGCCTCTAGCCCCGGTAAGGAGCCCCCAAGATGGGCAGGGCATCTGCCTCATCTTTCCCCATGCTCTATTCCAAAAATGGTGACTACCCCATTCATGGCTGTACTCAAAGGCCACACCCAAACATAAGTCCCATGGCTTCCCAACAACCACACTAAATGGTGGGAGAGCAGCTTCGTAGTTTTCCTGGCTTATGTCTCCATAGCCTTGCCCCTTATTGGGCTTGACTCCTTCCAAAGAGCATGGGAAGGTGGTGGGACCATGGCTTGTCAGAGGAACTTCCTGTTCACATAGATATATGTTCACTCATTCATTGCACGCTGTGCACGTGGAGAAAAGCTAAGAGGATATATTTTTATAATCATACATCCTCAAAAAACCCTGTTAACTTCACTTTAGACACATGACAATGCCATTTAATTGAAATATATATGTATATATAAATTAAGAAAAATAAGTTATCAAATGACTAACAAAAACAGAGAGATGAGCCAGGCGTGGTGGCACACGCCTTTAATCCCAGCTCTCAGGAGTTCAAGGCCAGCCTGGTCTATATAGTGAGTTCCAGCACAGCTGGGGCTACAGGGAGACCCTGCCTCAAAAATGCCAAAAAAAAGGAGGGGAGGTGATTAAAGAGATAGCTTAGCAGTTAAGAGCACTTGTTGCTCCTTCAGAGGTCTAGTGTTCAGTTCCAATCACCCATATCCAGTGACTCACAACTGCCTACAACTCCAGCTCCAGAGGATGTGAGCCCTTCTTCTGGCCTCCACAGGCAACCACACGAATGTGCACATACCCAAACAGAGACATACCCACACACATACAAATCTTTTGAAAAGCAGAGAGAGCTTATAAAATAATACATTTCCTTATGACTTTTTAACACCTCCACATTAATATCTCCTTCCTCCTCCTCCTTCCATATTACCCTCCCTATACCCTCCACAAAATGTGTGTGTGTTTAGTCATACAATATAAAACAAAAATCCCAGTCCCATTAAGCTGTCAGTCAGAATAATCCAAGAGACTCTCAAAACAATATAGGCTATTGTCATCACCTTTGATTGACTCCAGAACTTCACAGTAAGACCCAATTGCCAAAGCTATTAAACATTTCAGACACATGACTTGAAGAAATTGAGATGGAACTGACTTGGAAGCCTCCTCCCTAAGGACTAACTCTCATAGTATCAGAAGTTTCTATGCAAGCTCTCAAGGGAGAAAAAGCAGTCAATAGTCCTCCCCAGCTGTAAAGCCTATGATTCACAACAATTACTGGCCCAGTAAAATATTCCTAATTGTGCAATAATGACACTTTTATCTATGTAGCTGACAGCTGATTCACTGGACTTAAGGCCCATTAAATAGAAGGGACTCCATTCCTGGTACCATAAACCTAGCAAACTAACATTGCTGGAAAGGTCACAGACTAGAGGAGAACCTACTGCTTCCAGTTTCCTAAACCAGTATTTATTTCTATCTATATTCTAAATACTTCTTATATCCACAGATAGTGTAGCTCTCACCACTCATTAGAGAAACTTTCTTTTGCAACAGGTAGAGACTATTATACAGATCCACGACTAGTCAAAATGCAGATAATAAGTGAATGTGGGATGCCTAGTCCTAATTGATACCCCTACACTTAAGGCTCAGAAAGCATTGAAAAAGATGTGGCAGAAAGAGTGTAAGATTCAGAAGACCTGGGTGTCTGCTGCTTAGACAGAGTCTTCTAGATATGATAGGGAAGTTGCACCCGTGGCATCTCAGAAATATGGTTTCCTGAACAAGATCTACATAATGACAACACTTATTATCATTCATGGCAACATGGATGGGGGAAATTTCACAAGCTCTCACCTCTATACATATCATATGTGTGTATCTACATAAAACAATGCATACACACACATGTGTGTATGCAATAATAAAGAAGAGGTCACAAAATTAAGGGGAACATAGGGGAAATGTAGGAAGAGTTTGGGAGGGGAGAAAAATAAAAATAAAAACAGAGAGAGCTAAATGGAATTTTAACATATAGATGCAAATACCACTAGATGTCAGCAAAATTCCCCTAAATTATAGAAATATTCTTTCTAACTATTGGGGAAATTTGCTTCTTTATCTATAATCTCTATTTCAAGTATATTTGACTCAGATAATATTCTTATTAGATGTATAAGTTACCAGGAAATGAATAAATTTCCTTAAAGACAAACTGTAGGCTTTATTAAAAGGCAAGTAGTTAACGTATCTTTAACAGCATTCATATTTACTAAGATATTTTAGCTTTTCATGTCATCAAATATTCTTTAAAAAGAAAACAATTCTTAATATTCAGTAAATCAATATGCATTTATCTTGTTATGTTTAAAATATGGAGGCAAAAATGAAACAATCACATTTATTGAGGTTTTTAAATTAAGAGAACATGAGACAAATCAAATGAAATGTCATAAATAAACTAGTGCTAACTAGTATACAGTAATATGTCAGTTATCTAGAGCTCAGACAGATCCACAGGACTTATTACCTCAAGGTCAGGTAATTAAATAAGACAGCCACTAGGCAGCTAAAATTTTATGTCACAAAATTTTTCACTGAAGCTCATACTTTACTCATTACCAAGTCTCTTTTTCTATTACCAACAGAGCAAATGAACCTTCAGAGGCTTATAAGTTACACACTTGCTCCAATTACTACCTCAAAGACTCCTGTATGAAACAACTATTCTATCAACTTCATGAATCCTTTATATGGGGAATAGGCATGATGGAATTGGCTTGTCCCATACCATGCTCACAGCCTCAATGAGGACAACTCAACTGGCTGGAGCTGGTACTGTTGACAGAAGTCCCTGTAGCCAAGTCTCCACATATGACTTGGGTTTCTCAGAGTTTGGCTGCATTAGGTAGTGGGTTTCTCAAACAATGGTCAACAGTATTAAATACAAGCATTTCAGAAAATAAGGTAAAAACTCTTTACCTCTTATGATCCAGATTTGTCAGTTCACATCACATTACTGGTACTTTTATACTGTGGGTCAAAGGAGTCATAAGCTTCCCCCAATCCAAGGGAAAGATAATCTGTCACACTGGATAAGAATGAGTAAAAATGGGAAATACTGTGACATTATTGAAAGATGTACTTTGCCACAATCTACCTCCTGGACACACACACACACACACACACACACACACACAAAACTCCTATCCTTCTGTGGGCAGTCAACGTTATACTCTGTCCAAGGTGCCCAAGGTTTCATTTCAGTATGACATCAGGACAAAGTTTGGGGTTTCACAGTATAAGTCAAGTCTATGACCCATGGTAGCACACATTTGTAACTTCAGCCTTCAAGAGGCAGAAGCAAGAGGACCAAAATAGAGAACTGAAATTTTGTGACAAGTCTAGGGCATGTAGAAGTCAGCCTAGATTACATAGCCAAGACCCTGGCTCAAAAAACAACAAACCTAAAATAACATAAAATAGAATAAAAATAAGTCAAGTCCAGTTGCATATTGGGATCTCCAGATGTTCAAGTCCATTTCTTCTAAGGACCTACAAGACAAAATGGCAAAGTGGCAGGTTAGTCTGCAAATATCCAGCACAGTTATGGAGCAGACAGTTGCATTCAACACAATTCAGAAGCACATTGCCACTTCCTGAGTTAAACCTTAGTCCTGCTCCCTGGAAATGGTTCTCTGTGGCTCTAGGTGCTACTTACTAGGTTCTTGGTTTCATCTCCAAAGTCATCCTTCCTTCATGCTATCCTCTGAGTAGCATTCTTCACACATTTCAGAAACAAAACTTGGAGAACCAAAAGGATTCTCTTAATGTTTTTACCAATTTGTAAATTTTGGCACAATTTCACTCATGATACACACACACACACACACACACACACACACACACACACATCAAGTCCTTATTTGCTGTAGATTCACACCTCAAGTCCTTATTTGCTGTAGATTCACTCTTAGGAGCTACTAGAAGTATGGCTGTGTGTCTGTTAATAGCTATTTTGCCTATTTAAAAGCTCTGTGAGCCAGGCACATGTGATACACACCTGTAATCCTAGCAGGTAGAAAACTGAGGCAGAAGGATCATGAGTTCAAGTTGAGACTGAGTTACATCTAGAAACGTTGTCATAAAAAAACAAAGACCAATAATAAAGGGACTGTGGAAAACCACCTAAGGTATTACTAAAGTCTTAAGAAAGCATTTTATAATCACATCCAAATCTTACCTTTAATTAAAGATGTTTCCCATCAGCAACATGGAACTGATTTGTTTGACTTGGGGCAAATTTTTAAAAGAAAACATTTTGCCATCTTGAAGAGCTAAGAATAATTCTTTTAAGTTCAAAAAGTTATGGTCTTTGTATCTAAGGCTTTCTAATAATAAATATTAAGCCTCATGTGATGGTTTGAATGAAAATGTCCCCTATAGGCTCCAAGTATTTGGACATTCTGTCCCCAGATCATGGTGCTGTTTTGGTAAGGTTTTAGAAGGTGTGGCTATCCTGGAGGAAGCACGTCATTGGGGATGGGCTTAGAGAGTTCTTAAGCCTTCCCAGATCTCCAGTTTCTCTCTTGCTTCCTGTGCCTGCATGATGATGTGAGAGCTTAGCTTCTGCTGCTCCTGCTCCAGCCACCTCTGGCCACCATGCCTCCCGGCCATAACAGACTGTAATTCCCCTAGAACTGTAAGCTCAAATAAACTCTTCCTTCTATAAATTGCTTGGGTCAGTGTTTCTATCATAGCAACAAAAAAGTGGCTAATACACCTCATTTCCTTATTCTGTATTTTATCATAGGAAACACCATTTACAACCAGTTATCTTTCACTCAGAAGTCCCTTTAGTCTTACCGTTTAGTTCATTTATACATTTCTGATTTTTCATTTTTTGGCAGTAGGAATTTTGCTAAATTTCTTCTACTGTGTATAATGAAGGCACCCTACCCACACTTTCAAGCTCTTTAAAGCACTCCCTGACCACCTCTTTGAGACTTCTTAAATTTCCAGTTTCTGCCCACTCATCATTCAGGGCAAAGTTCATGGCAACATCTCATTTGCAGGACTGACACCTGAGAGCTTATCATTTCCACATAAGAACTTCCAAACTTAATGGTAAAATTATGCTTACACATTCTGTAAGGCAGAAATTCAGACAGGACACAGCAGGGTTAGCTTTTCCTAGCTCAACAATGTCTAAGTCTTGTCTAGGGAGACTAAAATAGACATAAGCTGGATGTATAAAAACCAAAATAAAAAAGCAGTGCTTTACACATGTCCTTTCCATGTGGCATGTGTTTTTGGCAGCATGGCAACATTAGGTGGCTAAGACTTCTTATAGGGGTGCTCAGCATAAGCCAAATTTCTTGTGAACAAGACATACGTGCATACCCTTGTGTGAACCAGCCTCAGGAGTCTCATGCCATCCATTTTCTGTGTCCTTTGAAGAATAGGTGGGGACAATTACTTTTAGAAAATAAAACCCTCCACATGGATCTATCATGGAAAACGGCAAAGGAGAAAGAAATGTTGTTGTCAATAGCCATGTTGACAAAAGCAGGAGACAGGGACTGCAACACTTAGATCCACTGTGATGCTTTTGAAAACCATATCAAACTAACTCACAAAATCAAAGATGACAAAACAAAATTCAAAGGGAGACTATGGAACAGCAATGGAAATGATGGTAAATTAGTTGTTGCCTAATTCCACCGCTTTGAGTTGGGGAAATAATGCCAGGAGATGACTTAGAGGGAGGGACATGCTCTCTTGCATTCAATATAAAAGTTTCCTGCACCATATTCAATTTTTTCTTCTTCTCTGTGTTCTTTCTATCTACCTATCCTTCAATAAATCCATCCATCCATCCATCATCCAAGACATAATCTTCATGAAGAATGAGAAGTAACCATATTCATTCTGAAGTAACATTTCCAAGAGCATACCATATAGAGAGATGTTGTTTTTATAAAGGAAGAGTGGATGGAGCTTTTTATACTGAAAATACAGTTGAGTTTTATTATTATTTTAATACATTTTATTGAATTTCTGTGGGTTTCATACAATACATCTTAATCATATTTAGCCTTCATGAAGAATGAGAAGTAACCATATTCATTCTGAAGTAACATTTCCAAGAGCATACCATATAGAGAGATGTTGTTTTTATAAAGGAAGAGTGGATGGAGCTTTTTATACTGAAAATACAGTTGAGTTTTATTATTATTTTAATACATTTTATTGAATTTCTGTGGGTTTCATACAATACATCTTAATCATATTTAGCCCCCATTTCCTATCTGCACACTCCCCATAGCCCACACAAAGGACTTTATGCATTTTGTCAAATATGTTAGGGCCTATTAATTTGTGTACCCAGATGTCCCTTGGTGTATCCCTGGAGTTAGTTTAGCCTGTGTAGTGTAACTCCCTTAAAGAAGATCAACTTTCCCTCATCCAGCAGTAAACAGATGCCAATAGTCTACCGCCAAAGTTGTGGCCTCCTTCCCATTTCCCCAGTTCTATGCTGGCTTTGGTCTGATTGAATTTGTCTAGGTCTTATGCATGGAGATTTTTATAATTACCAGAATTTATTAATATTCTATAGAGATAAATTAAAACAATGACCACAAATGCCTAATTACTTCTCTCTTGCTCAGAAGATGGACTGACTCTGTGGAGTGGCAATTCTTAAAGAGTCATTGTGCCTAAAACTCCTTCCCCATGAGACAGATGTGAACAATGTTCACCCTCTCCTCCTTTGGTCTCAAAAGTAAAGAGAGATACAATTACACCAAATTGCTCACTGGGAAACCAATCAATTTATTGGGCTTACTTACAGAGCAATGGGTAAGGGGTTACTTATAGTTGTGTCACTGTTCCCCCCTCAAGCTACACAGCAAAGTCTTCACCCAAGCATGGATTATGACTTCCCCAAAGTCACATAAAGAGAAAGCCCCTCCCTTAGTCTTCTTCAATATATGTGCTCCAACTTTCCATGATGCCACATGCATTTAAGGGCTGAATTTCCCATCACAGGTTGAGGAGAGGTGTGAGAAGACACTCAGGTGAAGGTCCCCTGACTCTCCCTGCCCTTTCTTCTATGGGGGAATGTCAACAGTCAATAAGCCCAGCTGTGATGATCATCACAAATAGACACGGCTGAGTTCAGGAAGACAGCATCTGTCTGACTTGGAGGATAGTCCTGTACAGCAGCCATCTAGGTAAACTATTGAATCCCGCAAATCTGTTCCGGATGTCTGTGAGATAAAACTACTGTCATAATAATTGCAGGATGCCACCTGCGTCTTTGATTCTCATTCTCTCATGAGTATAATAGAGTTTTCAGAAACTCCAAGATAAATGATACAGGAACAGGCTGGATGCATAAGGTGGCAGTAGAATCCAGCTATGCTCTACTAAGCCAGACCTTATGGAGAACATGAAAATCTAAAACAATGCCATTTATCACTCATTTGTTTCACATATTTTTAAAGATTTATGCTATTCATGTTATAATTAGATTGGTATTGGTATTTCACAAGAAATTAATTAATTAATAAATATTTTGTCTTGAATTTTATTTTTGAACATAGTAACTTTGACATAATGCACATAAATAGAAGCTCCTTTTCGATTTCCACTAATATTTAAGATTATAAAGGGAACTTAAGACCCAAGTGGAGATTCACTGGCCTAGAGAGACAATATCAGAAGTACTGAAGGAACAGAACACAGGGTGATGCACTGCACTAAAAGCAAACTGAAATCCTACATATTTGGACTAATAAGAATTTCAGTCAGTTTCCTAATTTGGCTCCCAGACTGTGGCAATCCATTTTATAATCCTATATTATATAGAAGAAAATGAGAGAGGAATTAGCAGAAAAAAACAGACCAATCAAATAAAATCTAACATCACTAAATGCTTTGACTCTTCCAGATCTTCCTTCAGAAGCCCATAAATGAAGAAGTTCTAATCACCATTTGAGGTCCTTCGCTAATCAATGTGAGTTCACAGAAAAGATGCTTGGAGAAAATCTGTAACATTAACACACTAAATAAAACCTCTAGTGCAAAGTATATGATCAACATTAAGAAAAACATTTCATGTCACTGAAACAAAACGAACATCCATAAATACTAATAATACACTTTACTAGACACTTATGTGGAACCCCTGAGCCCATGTGGTGAATCTCGCATGTTTAGATGGTTCATAATCTAAGACTGAAGCATGTCCTCAGTGACTTTGAGAGAAACCTCCCACATCGATTCATGATTTATCTGTTCAACTATCTTACATCTTTTACCTTTTTTTTGGTCTTTTACCTTTCTTAAAGCACTGCATATTCTATATGTGTACAGGATCCAGTGAACACTTTCAGTTATATGATCCTAAGTAATTGCCACACGTTAGATTAAGTAGAGATGAAGCTTCTAGGAACTTGCTCAGATGGTTGAGCAAAATGTGAACAGAATGGTGTCCCATATTAAAGTCAACAACTTCTCTGTCACATAGAAGAATGGTGTTTAAGGTGTGGTTTCCAGACCAGCATGATCATCATCCAAAAACCCAGGTCTATTCCAGAGCCACTAAACCAGAAACTCTTGCAACAGGACCCAAGTATCTACCTTGCCAAGCCTTCCAATATATCTGATATATGCCAAAGTTTGAAACCTATTATAAAGAGGAAATCCAAAGCAAGGGGATAGGATAGAATGAGAAATGATGCTGTTGAAATAGGCTTACTGTAATCATTACCATGGTGTTTATGCCTCAGCAGGTAAAAACACCTGCTACTTAGCCTGAGGAGCTGAGTTCTAGTCCAAAAACTTATACAGTGGAAGGAGAGAACTGACTCCCACAAGTTCTCCTCTGTAACCCCCAGTTCTCTCCTGGGAGGTCCACACATGTGCTCTCTCAGTTCCCATGTCCTGCTGTCCCTATACCCAACCAACAAGACCAACATAATGTCCCTCTAAGTTACAGTTTGGGAAGTAAGGATATTTATTTGGGCTTGCCAACAAAGCTTTTGCTATTCAGGAGAGGGTCACTTACAAAGGTATGACCACCCGTGTGATCATTCCCCTATATCTCAGCTCTGCCACCACCAGTATCCTACCAAGATGGGGACTTTCTGTCGCCCTCTCCCTCATGCAATTGAAACTGACCAAGTGGGTGGGAGGGGTGACTGTCTCCCCCTCTGCCTATGGAGTCTCTTGGGGTTAAGTGCTAGTTCTTTCAGAGGACACACCTACCCAAAGTCTTCTGACCTTTACAGACACACACACACACACACACACACACACACACACACACACACACACACTGCCACACATGCACACACATACATACAACAACAAATATAAATAAATAAAATGAAATTTAAAATAGTGTCCTGCTATACTAAAAGTATTCCTCCTAACCTTCTAGTAAAATGCCTAGGTATTTATCAGGATATACATGAACTTGGGAATAAGAATGGCCTAGAACATTTGACTTCTTCCCACTCCTGTATGAGTGAACTGTATTCAAGACCTTCCCTCAAACTTTCTATTCTAAGAAATCCATACCGAAAAGAAATGGTACAAAATTTGTACGATCAAAAATAAAATGGGTATAAATATTAAATATATGTACATATACATACAAACACGTGCACATGATAGATGATAGATAGATAGATGATAGATAGATAGATGATAGATAGATAGATAGATAGATAGATAGATAGATAGATAGATAGATAGATAGATAGATAGATATAGAGATATAATTTGTCCCTTTGGTATCCCTGAAGAACTAGTCCCAGGATACACATTCCCACACACTTAAAGCCCACTCCACAAGGTGGAACTCATGCCTGACATCACTAACAAGGTCAAGAGCCTGTGGCTAGGTAGAGCATAGGTCCTAAGGGATAACCGCTGCTATTATTCTGCTAAACAGCACTAAACCAACTCCTACTGACAATGCCACATCCATAGATTAGTGCATCTCCAAACTATAGTCAGAGAAGCTTCTTTTTGCAATTGATGACAGCTAACACAGAGACCCACAACTGGTCAATATGCAGAGAACAAGAGACTGTGGAATGCTCAAATCTAAATGGGACATCCATATAACACCTCTCCTCCCAAACCTCAGGAACCACCGTGTAACAGAGGGATAGAAAAACTGTAAGAACCAGAGGCAGTGGATGATTACAGTGAAACTGTGAGTTCAAGGCCAGCCTGGTGTACATAGTGAGTTCCACAACATCTGGGGCTACAGGGAGACCCTGTCTCAAAAAGATCAAAAAAAAAAAAAAAACCTAAAAGTAGCCAGACAACCAGGTGTTCACAGGGCCAAGAGAGGAAGGCAAGCTCCAGTCAGGACCTGTCTGGACTACAGAGCAAGTACAAGGCCAGCCTGACCCCTTAGTGAGAGGCTGTCTCACAACAAAGAAGTAGAAAGAGGTATGTTGTTCAATGAATATATTTAGGCTGTTCTATTTACTACATTTACATAATTAGAACTATAACTGTCTCATTATCATAAATCCTATCTTTAGAATAGAAACCTCCATGATTGTAACCACTATAGTATTGCATTAAGACTTTTTTTCTGTGCTTCTATTTAAAAGAGTGATTTTAAGCCTGGGTGTAGAGGTACACACTTTAAATCCCAGCACTTGGGAGGCAGAGGTAGGTGGATCTCTGGGAGACTGAGGCCAGCCTTGTCTACATAGCAAGTTCCAGGATAGCTGGGGCTTCAGAAAGACCCTGTTTCAAAAAAAACCACTTATTTTATTTTTATATATGTGTATGTGTATGAAAGACAAGGCATCATTTAAGGAACAACATGTATGTTTTGATGGCCAAGAGTTTTTTTGAATCTTCCTGAATATCTCAGTAGAAAATAGATGGCCCTGGTGTGGTGGTTTGAGTAACATTGTCCCCCATAATCTCCAAGTATTTGACAACTTGGTCCACAGTTCACGCACTATTTGGGGAGGGTCATGGAACTTAAAGGAAGGAATGGTCATGCTGGAGGAATCACGTCACTGGGGGTAGGCTTTGAGAGTTCAGAAGCCTCATTCCCACTACCAGCTTGTCCCTCTACTTCCTGTACATGTTTAAAGATGTGAGTGCTCAGCTTTCTGCTCCTGCCTCCAGGCCACCCTGCCATGATGAACCCTTACCCCTCTGGAACCATAAGCCAAATCAACTCTTCTATAAGTTCCCTTGATCATGGTGTTTTATTATAGCAATAGAAAAGTAACTAATATACCTGTCTAAATTCAGTGAGTCATAAAACCAAAACAAAGTCACGAATGTGACAAAGAGAACAGGGATGGAGGGGGTGGTTGACAGAGGTGGGAGGGAGACAACAGAGAAGTGGGAGAAAGAATGAGCAGAATGCATCATATTCGTGTATGGCATTTTCAAAAATAATCATTTTTAAAGATCTTCCTTAAGTAGTTAAATTGCATTTCCTTTTTTCTTTTGAAGTATTGTGGTACTGAGGACTGAACCTAGAACCTCACACATGCTGAGCCTCATGTGAGCTCTCCCACTGAGAGCTCTCCCCTGCCTCTCCCTCCTTCCCTATTTTTTTTGGGGGGGTGCCATTTTTAAGACAAGATCTCATGTAGCCCAGAAGGCCCCAAACTCACTATTGCAGCTGAGATGACCTTGAACTCCATTTTCTCCAGCTCCTATCTCCTAAATGCTAGGACCACAGGTAAAGACCATCACACCTGCCTACTTAACTCTCCTTTTACTCATTTTGAGATAGGCTTTCAATAAGTTTCCAGGTTGGCCTTGAACTTATCTTCCTGCCTCAGCTTCCCAATTGACTGCCATTATAGGCCTGTGCCGCCAGGCCCTATATATCATTACTTTACAAAGTGCACTTTAAATAATGAACATAAGCAATCAGAAACATCTGAGTTTAACTTCTCAGTTCCTTACTTACTAGGAGGGAGATATTTAACTTCACTAAGCCTTATCCATACAGGGGTGATGATAACTTGGCGAATGCTTTGTTCTCACTCCTGCTGTTCCTTTTCCTGTAGATATACCTATGGAGGGTACGGGGGGTCGGGCGGGAGTCACTCTCCTACCATAACATGCCTGGCCTCTGCTTACTTACTCAAGCTTCCCCAAATATGGACAATCTAGGACTATTTAAGACAAAGGTAAATGTTAGATTAGCCTCTTCTTCCTTCGTGTGTGCGTGCGTGTATGTGTACGTGTGTGTGTGTGTGTGTGTGTGTGGTATATTCACATGCACATATGAGCTGTGCACGTGAGAACTTACTCATATGTGCACGTGTTGAGACCAGATGTTAATGTCATGTGTCCTCTACAGTGAACTTCACCACCTTATTTTTTGAGACAAGGTCTCTCACTGATATTGGAGGTAGCCATTTTTGCCAGGCTGGTTGTACGATGGGACCCCCACGGTCTGCCTGTCTACACCTCCCTCTTCCCCCAACCCCTGAGCTAGGGTTACAGATGTTCACCATCGCACTCTGCATTTATCTGGGAGCTGAGGTGGGGGGATGGTCCCAGCTCAGGTCCTCATGCTTCCAAGGTAAGCACTTTACTGACAACCATCTCCCTGGCCCCTCCCACTTCCCTTTTGAAGAAAACTGTATCAGGCTGCAAGTTGTACATGAGTAGTCCCCCATATCAAGATGCTCTTGATTGTACCAAGATGGGTAAATCTAAACATTAATAACTCTTGATTCTGTATTGAGAAGTTCATTTGGCTATTAATCAAACCACGTTCTTCAATGTTGTCTTTTGTTTATTTACTCTCTAGATACGTGAAATTTTATTCACCAATAGTTGTTGGGTTTTGTTGTTGTTGTTTGTGCTGCCTTTTTGTTTTTGTTTTGGCAGTGTTGTGGTTGAACCCGGAGCCTTATACATTTGGAGTAAGCACTCTACCACTGAGTTCCATCTCCAGCCCTTTTATTATTTAATTTTTAGTTTTAGGCAGGGACTCACTAAGCTGCCCAGGATGCTGTTGAACTCATTCTGTAGTTTATATGTGCCTTGAGCTTTTGAACCTCCTGCCTCAGTTTCCCAAGTAGCTGAGATTCCAAGCCTGCATCACCAGGCTCAGCATTATCCCCCAGTCATCTTTATCCTTTCTTTTACCCTCTCTCTAAAGTGATTTAGAGTTTTCTCTTCTTTTCTTTCTTCTTCTACTTCCTTTTTTTTCCCTTTAAGACGGTTTCCCTGTAACCCCAACTGGCCTAGAACTCACTATGTAGACCAGGCTGGTCTCGAACTCAGAGACTCACCTGCCTCTTCTCCCTGAGTGCTGGAATTATAGGTGTTCACCACCGTCCCTGGCGAGAGACAGACACTTTTCATTGCTGCTAGCTGTGACTGATATTTCATTGTATATATTTTTGAAATTCTCAAAGAATAAAAGATGAAAGCATATAGAAAAGTAAGCATTAAAATGAAAAAAGTAAAAATAAAAGAAAATCTTACAAAATTATTAATGATACTTAAACTAAAACATGTACCTTGACTTCCTTGTGGTCTGTTCTAGTTTGTTCTCCATTGCTGTGACCAATAACAGCTTGGGGAGGAAAGAGTTTATTTGTCTTACATCTCCTGGGTCACAGTTCATCTTGGAGCCCAAGGTAGGAACTCAGGGCAGGAACCTGGAGGCAAGAGCTGGAACATAGATCATGGAGGAACACTGCTTAATGGTTTGCTCCCCTGGCCCCTGCTCAACTGCTTTCTTGAATAACATAGGCCCACCTACCCAGGGGTGGCACCACACAGTGGGGTGACACCCACATCACTCAGTAATCAAGAAGGTACCCCACAGATGTGGCCACAGGCCAGTCCAATGGAGGCAATCCACCAACTGAGGCTCCCTCTACCCAGGTGTATCAAGTTGACAACTAAAGCCATCCAGCACATGGTCCTTGCATGATGAGGATTTCCCTAACTTTCTTGACCCAAGTTTGTAGTTTATCACCCTGCTAACCTGTGTAGTACACCTGTATAGTAACCTCTTCACTGAAGAAACTTAAATAAAAACAAATCCATTTTGGTTTTACTCCAAACATTTTTATTTAACCCCTTGGACAATGTAGCCTCAGAAGCCACCAGGATCCTGTACATGTCAGATGTCACTCCATCTAGAAAAGTTCACACCCACACCTGAGTGTGTATGACTAGTCTGTTTTATTTTGTTTTGCTCTGTTTTTGAGACAGGGTCTCATACTGTGGCCCTGGCTGACCTGGAGCTGGCCCTATAAACCAGGCTGGCCTGAAATTTGCTGTAGCCCTCTCGTCTCTGCACTCTGAGTGCTGGAAGGGGCACAGTCAGATGCCAGCACATCCCACTGAAGGGGTCCTTTCCTAAGTGCCCCACTCTATTTCTCCATTAACATCCACTCTTAAATCTATATTAAAATCTTTTCTTAATAAACTCCAATTTTATTTCTAAATAAGTAGATATAATTCTCACAAAGTGGGACATACATCATTAGGCGCCACTTGAACTCATACTAACTTGACTTCATAGTTTGTGGTAGGTATTCAGTGTGATACTGTGTGCAACCCACAACAAAGTGCCTGGAACACTGTGATCACTCACTTCTGTAACAGCCACACACACTGCTGCAGGAATGAAACACTTGCAAGTTAGAAGGCAAACAGTAAAAGTTTAAAGCCTTCATCAAGTCACTGTCAAAAATTCTAAATTTCAGTTCAAATAAAATTCTTTGTAACTGTGAATCGGTTTTTTAAAAAGATATTTCCACTCACTGAAAGAGTGTAATCAGATGATGTGAGTTATAATTTGAAATATAGGACAAACATTATTTATGAAATGAACATTCATCAAGGAGAGACATTATAGCCTATACAATGCACAGTAACTAATCCGTAGAAAAAATGAATATAATGTACATAAGCAAAATCAGACAGTAGTACATAAAATATTAAAAATTTAATAATCTTTTAGAACCAATTTTATGTCTAAATGGCTTAAGAAAAATTATGCTACAGTAAGTTTATTCTATAAATTTTAACTGATTCAGCAGTATGCTAGAAGCACACTCAAAAGAACCTGAAGGTATAATTTATCTGTTATGAAATAATACATACTAGAAAATTGATCCTTCAAAATGAGCCCAAGAGCTCACTAATGATAAGAAGATTTATCAACCTGAAATCTAGTGACCTCAGGAGTTTTGTGAGACTCTTAACATAATTTGTAAATGTTATGTATGTGTGCATGCATATGGTGGTGGAAATCTCTACTTTTATTAGAATCTGATAAGGTCACACCAAGAAAAGGTCAAGATAAGAAAACATTGTTTTATAGTATAAATTATTAGGTTGGTTTGTTTGCTTGCTAGCTTGTTTATTTGTGGAGACAGGGTCTCTCTATGCAACTCTGACTGGCATGGAACTCACTGAGTAGACCAGGCTCAGGTGATCCCCTTGCCTCTGTCTCTCAAGTGCTAAGATTACAGGCACAAGATACCATGCCCAGCTCCATGCAGATTTTCTAGTAGGACTTTTTTGTCTGGGATATGGTATTTTTAATTTGAACAATTTTGTGCAATAAAAACAATGAATTAGGGGCTAGAGAGTTGGCTCAGCAGTTAAGCACACTGACTACTCTTGCAGAGGACCCAGGTTCAGTTTCCAACACCCACATGGCAGCTAACAATCATCTGTAACTCCAGTTCCAGGGGATCTGACATGCTCTTCTGGTCTCCATGGGTACTGCATGCATATATACATGCAGGCAAAACACTAATAGACATTAAATAAAAAACAAAAGAAGAAAAAATTAAAAACAGGTTTGACTTTGAAAATGCGGCTACTTACTTTTTAAGTATTCTGGTATGGTTTTCACATTAACACCCACTGCTTCTACTGTTGCTTTCTTTTCAGTCCACTGTATTGTTCTTCTCCTGGATTCCTTTAATTGGTAGATTTTCAACAGTATTTTCAAAGCAATCAGTGTTGTTCTTCAAACGATCTGGTAGCTCCCCACACGAAGCTGCTACATACAACTCAAACGTGAAGGTGCTGTGGAAACTCAGTTTAGCACCGTCAGCTTCTCTTCTCATTTTTAAATTTCTAGGATGAAATTTTTTACTAATGTGGTTTTTCCTTAAGAGACTCATAGACTTTTCTCATCTTTATAGGTTTCTTCTTTGCTGGTTTGGTTTATCTGTGCTATAATTAACATTGTCTTTTTTGTAGCAATTTTGATCTAATGGTGGGAAAAAATAGGATTCCTCCGTAGTTTGCATGCAATTTCAGCAGATCTAGTATCAGTAACTGCATCAGGATGGGCTACATCCTTGGAGTACATTGCAACACCAGATGCAATTAACACCTGGGCTAAACTGCTGTTCTCATGAATGACATCTACTTCAAATTTTACTTCAGAATCAGATGACCTAAACTGGAAAACTAAGCCTCGTTTGCTTAGGAAATCTTGAAAAAAATTGTATTACTCCAGTGCTTCCCTGGAACAGATAAAGCACCGTATAGGACACATGGATAGCTCAGACTTGGCAAATTCATAGTTTTCTCAGGTACAACTTTAAGATTTATTACATATGAATAAGGTACACAAACAGAAAATCCATAGTCTATCATCACAAGAAGTAAAGGCTTATCAGAAACTTCAGAAATTTCTACTCTGTTCCACTGATCTTCCAATTCATTTTTGAACAAGCAACTAGAACCAGGAATTACCAGCTCTTGAGGCAATGTTTGTAAGGTTTCTCGTAGATCTGAAAGCAGCATAAAGATGTGCTTCATTGTATCAAAGAAATCTTCTAACTGAACATAGAAGTCTGAGGGATCAGAAACAGCAGTGGCAATACTGCTGTACCGCCAACCGTTTAGAAGTTGTGCCCAAGTAAATGGTCGTATTGCACAAGGACACTCGAGAATCTGAGGTTCTAGAGAGAAGCTATCTCCTGAAGACTGCAGTTTGTTTTCTCCCACCTGAACTATATTCACATTTAAATATTTCAAAATCAACATGTTATCTATCAAAATTTCTAATCCCAAGAATAATCTAAATAATTCCGAAAAAAGGATGCTCATTTCCAAATAAGCAACTAAGCACACAGTGAACTCAAGTGGAATTTTCTTAGAATCTTCAAACCAAATCCATTTTCGAAGTGTGGCTTGTCTTGGAACATTTCTGATTTCATTGCTAAGCTCCCCGGTATTGCTTATAGGTACTACCTCATACCTCCCACGATCTACTAAAAGCACAAGTGCTGTCTCACTCACACACTGCTTTTCTATTTTTGATTGGTACCACTTTAAATATTGTTTAGATGTCACCAAGCATTCTAAACCCTTTTCAATATTATTCATTGATAAAAAGGAGAAAATTTTATCTTCTTCGGTAACTACTACCAAATCTGACATTTTCTGATTTTTTGGTAATATCAAATGAAATTTTCCAGTCTTTTAAATGAAAAATATTTCAGCTTTTTCTAGTTGTCCAGGTCTTAAAGGTTGAGAAGGAATTTTAACAAGCTGTTGGACAAGTGGTTGAAGGGTCACGGAACCTTCATGTTCATTTAATCTTCCTTCCTTCCTTTCATTGTCATCACAAAGACTAACCTTTTGAGAGACAACCTCAGATGTTTACAATACTGTGCTCTGTAGTTTCGGACATGGTGACCACTTCAGCAATTTCTTAATGACACATTTATCACTACAAGGTAATTTTACTTCAAAATTGTGACCATGCTTTTTCAAAAACTCACAAGAAACTGTTTTGTTACTTATTCCTGAGGCAAAATAATCAGCAATCTTGCTTTTCTACGTTTCAGTGGCTGCCCATTCCATTTTACTCCATTCAGAACAGAACAGAACAGATTCCTAGCTGAGAATTTAAGGATTCCCTGTTAAGTGTATAAACTTTACAAGTGTTTATTATTGCAGTTTTGCCATGGTCAAAAATCTTCACTTTTAAAGAAGCATCAGGCAGGACCTTCTTAGTAACTTCTGTGTCCGTGGCACCATCAGGAGAGTATTCTACAAGATCTCTCACCAGAGGGCTCCCTGAATTCTGTCTCTTTGCTCTTCTTTCATCTAGAGCATCTGTATATCTAATGGCTTCATTTTCATTCTCAGCAAGAGGAATATGAAAACTGTCTGGATAACTGATATCAGATACACATCCTTTATCTTGGGTACTAAAGTCCAGGTGAGATTGAGGCAGCTCTTTGATCTGTGGTCTAACAAGTATACCTGGGCTTTGTGAATCTGCTTGATTTAAGTCTCTAATAAATGACCGTGAAACCTTATCTCCTGATTTGGAACTCGCTTCATTTTCTTCGAGAATATGTGCAGACCCAGGGACAAATTTTACACTTCTATTTTTTTTTTAAGTTTGTCATCCAAGAACTTCTTCACTTTTTTGTTCAAGTTTACAACAAATTGATGGTTTCAAAACTTTGGCATATATACTTTGGGTAATTATTAATTGATCTATTTCCTTTTCAGAATATGTTGCCAGGCTAGTTTTGTTTACTGTTTTATGGTGATAGCTATTTTCTGTGTTTCCCTTCAAAAGAGCAGCAACTGTCTTGTTTCATCTCTGATTCTTTTCCATGCGCCCTGCTTGACAAGAATGTTTTTTTCCATAAACACTAAGTAACATTTTTATTGTCTGATTTATATGTTGACACCCATCATATAACTCTATACCAAGCTGACCATCAGATTCCCTAGACAGTATTACAGCTTTTAATGACTTTCCTAAGAAATTGTCTTCAAACCACCTATTGATTTCTCCTGGAATATCTATATCTCTAAGATCTGACAGAAAACATTGAATTGCTTGCATAGGTGTAAATAGTAGCTCTGGAAACTCATCAGAAATGGCCCACAACATATTTTCTTCTACCAATTGCTCGTTTCCAAAGTCCACAAAGTAAACACAAGGGTCAGATGATAACTTCGTTGGCTTCACTAAGGCTCTATATGAGAGACCATCTTCTACGCATTTAGAGACGCATAATCTCATTTTGCTCCAATCATACTTAGGGCAATTTTTGAGGCTAATCATCTCTGTGATTCTTGTCTCCAGCATCTCTAGATCTTTATTGTTTCTACAAAGCTGGCAATAAAACTTTTGGGGGCTGTACACATGGGAAATATACACATCTTCTTCGCTTCCAATGTTTATATCAAAGGAAGAATAATAGTAAGTATAAAGACTAACTGAAAATGGGAGTGGTTTCGATAACTTGCTGTATTGTATAGAGTCACAGTGAAGGAGAAATTCATTTGCACTAGTATGTGATGAGTATAGATCCACTAAATTACATAAACATCTAGGGTGTATAAGAACTAAGGCATACACAATACAAGTTAACAATCCTCTACATGAAGAAATGTAATTGCAAAAGTTTCTGGATGCTTCTGCTGTCCAATATAATAGTTTACAACTAATGGGTTCAACTAAATAGTTAAGACAGCATCTGAAGGCTTGGGCTTCTAAAACAAGAAAATGTGGGTTAATAGCACAAAGATCTTTAATTAAAACTCTCTCTTGATTGCCATAGTCAACAAATATTATTTCAGCTTCTTGTTCTGATACTTGAGTCAAAAAAGCAGCTCTGTACCACTTCCCATCTTTAGAATGCTTAGCAACACAAGCAATGTGCCCAGACTGATATGGCTCAGAATGAATGCTATAATAATCTTGAATTTGTTCCATCATTAAGTTTAAGTCTTCTAATTTACATTGAAGCTGGCATGAAAAGTCACCTGGGCCATAATAATAAGAACAGTTGACTCTGAGACGTTTTCCTGGTTTGAACACATATTCCTTATAAGATTGTGATGAGTCAAGTCCAAAGAACAAGTCAGAAGGACTTCTAAAATCTGAGAACTTATACCAAGATGGGATTTTTTGTTTCATCTTATATGAATATTTTTTAGGTTTAGGACTTTCAACAAGGATGGAAACAGTAGCATTTTTAATATTAACTGTGTCTACAGATTTTGAATTTAACATTGAATATTCACTTACAGATTTTTGAAAATCTGGCTCTATGTCCCAAGTTTGGGCATATCCCGTTTGTAGCATCAGAGAGACAACATCATTAGTTTCTGATGCTTCCATACTCTGAATATTTACCATGTACTTCTCATATTTTTTTGTTATAACCTGAAGCAAAATTGCTTTGTTCAAAACTATTTTTTTGAAATAATCAATTGCTGCCTGTATCCATAAATCATCAACAGGAAATATATGGGCAAGTGAACAGTGCATGGCTAAAGAAGGCAGCTCACAAAATTCTGGAAGCAAAATTTTTGCATCAAAAAATGGTATGGAGTCAGTACTTCCATAATCTAGGAGATAAATATTAATCTGATAATCATTTATTTCAGTGACGACAGCTCTGTAAAAACATCTGTTCTTGCTATGTCTGGCACAACAAAGTAATCCAGGTTTAGGGTTTTTCAGAATTAGCTCATCATTTTCAAGTGAGTTATAAAATTTATCTATATTTTTCATTATATCTTGGAATTCATTCTGATGTTCATTAATACGTACCCAGAAATTTGATGGGCTCAATACATTTACTACAAAAGCTATATAGGTAGTCTCTAGCTCCATTTTTAAAGTTTTAATAGGAAAACCTGCTTCTAAATCACCTTTCTTATTTAGAACACCTGACAACTGCTTAACATTTGCAACAAAACTATCAACTCCAAGGCTGTTTATATGAGAAACACTTATCTCACTCAAGGCTTGGGATGTTCTTGAATCAAACACAGGACACAGTATTTGTGTGCCTGCAGTCTTCAGCAGACACTTAGAATCAATACCAGATTCTTGAGACTGTAATGTCACATAATACAAACGTTCATCCTTACTAAACCAGTCAATGTGGGCATATACTATTTGTCCTAGTAAGGCTTGCTTAAATACAGTCAGTTGACGTTTTCTTGCATCTCTGTCTGGACAATATAAACATGTCAGAGAACATGGAAATGAAAACAATGGTGCATAAATAAAATCCTGTTTTAATTTCTTTACATGAATTGAAGGTACGGATTCACTATTGCCATAGTCCATGAACCAAATTTTTGCTTGATTATTGGGCAAGAGCTGCTGAAGAATTCCTCTTTGCCACTGTCCATTCATCCCTTTAGCAACACAAAATAGTCCAAAATTATCACACGTGGGACTAGTTTCCTGACTGATCATATCATAATGCAAATTCATACACTCTGTCAGGTTTTCTAGCTCTGGAATCCATTTAATTAACTGACAATAAAATTTACCAGGGCTCAGAGCAGATGATACCTTTACACTGCCCGAACTTCCTACTAACAAGTACTGCTGGAAATTATCCAAGACATGTTGAACATGAGGTAAAGTACTATTACTACTTAGTGGTAATTCTGGTCTTTTATGTTGTAATGAGTCTGGCATCTGCTGAGGGAATTGCTTCAACATTTCCACAATAAGACGAAATGTATCTCTATCAATAAATCTTCCTAGTTGTAATTCAAGGACCTCAGATATAATTTTTGGCACTTCAAGAAGAATCACTTGAAGAGGCAAAACAGTCTGTACATAACCTTTCAGTTGTATTCCTACTAGTGACTTTAAATAATTCAAAGCTTTAGGAGACCATTTCTCTCCAACTGGAAGAATGTTGGAAAAAATACCAAATACTACTCGTGGTGGGAGCTCAAATAACTTTTCACAAGCTGAAGCTACCCGAGTACTATCAACTCTTAGCTCTTCTCCATGGTCGATCAGGAGCACTGTGTAGAGTTCATTTTTCTTTTCCACAACTCTTCCTCTCTGCCATTCTCCGGTTACTTTTTCTTCCACCAAACAAAACTCATCAATATCCACACTACCTTTCACTTTGGGAATATACTGTATTTCCCTCTGTAATATGTGATAGTCAAACTGGCTTTCCTTATTATTTTTGCCTTGAAATTTCACAAGAATATCCTTGGGAAGACATTCAATGTGTAATACTGTCAGATCCGCAACTAAAACTGTTGGTGATAAAGATGCAGAATCCATTTTCTAGAAAGCAAATAAGTGAAAATTAGCTTTTGGACAGATGACTGTCAAAATTACATAAAATTAGCCTTATATAAATGCTCAAAGTAATATAAGCTTTAAACATAATTCTATATGTGTACTTTAACATTTATGTGTGCTTCTCTATGTGTGCCTCTGTGTGTGTGCTTACATGCACATATGCACATATGTGTGTGTGTGTGTGTGTGTGTGTGTGTGTGTGTGTATACCTCCACATGAGCCACAGTGTGTTTGTAGAGGTCAACTCATAGGATCCAGTTTTCTCCTTCCACTGTGTGGGCTCCAGGTATTAAACTCAGATCATCAGGCTTGGCAACATGTGCCCTCATTCACTAGCCATTTCACTGGCCCTTATGTCTGTATTTTTGTCATCAAACATGTCTATAAAAACTATGTTCACTGGAAAAGATTGAAACAACAAAATCTAACTGTTCACTGCCTTTACAAATTAAGGGAAAAAGGGGGACAATAAAGATCATTACTAGAATACATAAGGGTAATCTTTATTTCCCAGGAAACGACAAATGTCTACTAGACAGCAGGTATGATATAATGGAAAAGGCAAAATAAGACTCACTAGAGTCCTCATTCTTCTTCTGAGAGAAATCCACCTTTCTGAGTGCTTCCCATAACTGCTAATTGGAAAAGATGGAGAAAGAAACAAGGGAAGCTGGCAACCCAGGAGGAGACATGAGGATTGTACTCCCTGCCTTGTGTTCATTTACAATACTCAGACCCTACCCGTGTCATTGTGCAATCTTGGGTTATTTTTTATTATTATTATTTGAGTAAGTAAATAGATCTAGATGCCACTAAGGGAATCTAGAAAAGGGAGTCCTGGGAAGACACTGAAGCAGATTAGGCATAGCCCCAGTTTTGTCACTTGCCACAAAAAAGGAAAAAGGGGAAAATCTTAGCTTTGATTTGAGACATTGTTTCCACTTTCATCTCAAAATTTAGAGAATTTCAAAACATAGTAAGACAAATATCCAAGAAGTATAAATGCCTCCCAAGGTCACAGTTTGAATGTAAGTATCCACCCCAAATGGCTCATGTGCTGAAGGCTTGGTCTTCTGCTGGTGGTCCAATCTTTGGGAGATGATTGAATTATCATTGTCATTAGATTGAAGTCTGGATGGATTGATCATAATATAATATTACTGCAGGTGTTAGAAGGTAGGAGACTGGGCCTAATTTGAGGAAGTAGGTCCTTGGGGGACATACCCTGGAAAGGTATACTCTGTCCTTGGCCTTTCCCATCTCTGCCCATAGTGTCTGTCTTGTCGTAGTCCCGTAGCCAGCCATCCCTGGACTGGAACTTCTGAAAACCATGAACCAAAAATAGTCCTCCTTTTATTTGTGTATGTCAGGTATTTTGTCACAACAATGACTGTATGTCTATCATGCTTGGATTAGGACAAGAACTGACACCTACTGTGATAGAACACAGCCCAAATCTTCAATATGGTAAGCTTTAACTTCTATTATAATGAGGAAAAAAAAAAAAAAAAAAAAAACATGGGACTTATAAAAATGAGAGCACCCAGGTAAAAGAAACCAAAGAAATGCTTCTTCCAGGAATGAATGTATGGAAACAGAAAATCTTTTGACCACAACCTCATGCCTGTTCACAAAATTGTCAGAAGAGGAAAACCTACATGCTCATGAGAAATATAAAATACAATAGGAAGAATGATCCCAGAACAAGGATAAATAGACGTTCTTTCTAGGTTTTTAGACTCAAGGCTGAAGACTGAAAGAGAACATGGAAAACTCAAAAACATAAAACATATAATGTAGGCACATCTAGATGCTGACTATATGTTTCATTTCCTCCTAGGTCACTAATTTTGTACCATAATCAACATGATATGATCCTTAGAGGTTCTAGACTATGGTAACTTGATCTAGAGTCTCTAAAAATAAAATGAATGAACAATACCTAAAGATTTCAATTAAAATGAACAAAAAAGCTTCAGAACACAAAATGCCTTGTTAAGCCTTCATTATTTAAAGTGAATTTAATAAGTTACCAAATTTCCAGACTTTAAGTTAATAGGTCTAAATGCTAAGCATCTAAGAAAGAATCCTATACCAGATAGAGTTTTCTTCCTAGTGATCATCTAAATATTCCTGGCTGGTTGTGTGGGTAAAATGGGAAGGGGGTGCTGGAGAGATAGCTCATTAGTTAAGAGCATGTGCTATTCTTGCAGAGGACACAAGTTCAGCACCCGTGTTGGGCAGCTCACAACTGTTCCAGAGAACATGACACCCTTTTCTGGACTCTAGGGACATCTGCACTCACATGCACATACCCACACACATATACACGCAAGTTGAAAACAATAAAAATAAATCTTTAAAAATGGGAAAGGGAAAATATTCAAATCTGTCAAGAATCATGCAACATTTTATTCAGTAGAATACCTTTGTCAAATGCAAATGACATAACAGTATTAAACAATTAAAGCCCAAAAGCACAAGGAAGTTGTATTAACAGGTTAGTTTAAGAAAAAAAAAAAAAAAAAGAAAAAAAA